TTTATGTAGATCCCTTTGGGTTTCATGCAGTAGTGTTTTATAATTTTCTTTGTATAGGTCTTTTACATCCCTGGTCTGACTGTGATCTTTTGGAAATAGATTTACTTCCAGAATAAGTATGGCGAATTCACTCCCCTGTTCAAAATTCTTCAATGCCTTTCCATCACCTTTAAAATAAAACCCAAATGCCTCAACATGCATATGCAGCTATTTGTGGTCTGGTCCTTGCTTACATCTTTCAGGTAATTTCTTACTCTTTTATTGCAGGATGTCCAGCCTGGCACATCATAAGCCCTCCACAAATAACAGGTATATTGACAAATACCGTATGTCACCTGATAGTCTTCTCTGAATCTGTCAGTATAAATGTTACTCCCAACTGGTTGGCAGCTGTCTCTGAGGCAGCATCAGGGTCTCCTCTTGAGGTTTTTATAGGAGCACTGGGTTCAAGTTCAAATACTGCTCATATCCCTGAGGGTCTCTTGAGGTAGAGCAAGGCTTCTTAGAAGGCCCAGCTTTCCCTGCAAGTTTGGGTTCTTGGAAGATCAAGGGTACATGGACATGGCTGTGAGTTTAGGGCTCCTTAGTCACCTCCTCATGGTCTGTTTGGATGTCTTCTAGGCACTTGAGGGTGGGACACCCAGAACCCTAGGTGCTACCCCTGGTTTCTACACTTGAAATGTTAACATGTTACCTTTAAAGATACTTTTTTTGGTTGCTTTTGGTTGCCTCATCAAAGGGAACTGTCAGTCAACAAGACCCTTTACCTAAATTAAGGGGTGACACACTCTGAAATGATCGTGGGACAGTCGGGATGAAAGACCTTGTTGAGCTGATTCTGGCTTTTCCAACGCTTTGAACTACAGACACGGATGGTTCAAGGAGAGCAGAGATAGGAACCTGGAGGTATAGGGCTGTGGTCTGTCCTGTGGGTTGGGGCTTGGGGCCACATTTCTGCCACTATGCACTCACTGTGACACCCTGAACAAGTCACTTCCTCTCTGTGGACCTCAGCTTCTTCACTTGTAAAATAAAGTTATTGTACTAGCTACACAATATCCAGAGGCCTTTCAGCCCTGGTATTTTCTGATTCCATAAAAATTTGAGTTGTTTTGGAACTCTTTGCTTG